TTTTAAAGATAAGATGTTGAGGATGAAACATTTTCTTTTATAAATAACTGCAAATTTAATACTTGAGTGGAAGTCATTTTGTAAATTTTGAAGATAAGATGTTGAGGATGAAACATTTTTTGTTATAAATAATTGCAGATTTAATACTTGAGTTGTCATTTTGTAAATTTTGAAGATAAGATGTTGAGGATGAAAGATATTCTTTTATAAATAATTGCAAATTTAATACTTGAGTTGAAGTCATTTTGTGAATTTTGGAGTTAAGATGTTGAGAATGAAACATTTTTTACTTCTATTAATTTAACATTAAAAGTGCAACATTAATTTCATACACTGTTATTTGTCTTACACTTTTACTCATATTATTTATTTAGTTATGATTCATCATTGACGACGATATAAAACTATAATACTTGCATTATTTTGCCTGATGTCCACATGTGACACACGTTGAAATACGACAAACATATTTTCATCATGATTCGACTTTAATTATAATTCCAACCCTCTGACATTCAAGCTATCCTTCACATTTATACATTCTTCGTCTTACAATAATCAAATCAATGTCAACAAAATCATAGTTTAACCTCTTAATTTATTTTCTGAAGGAGTGCGTCAGCATGGCGACTTAATTATTGTTGTAACATTAAGACAAGCAAAGAATGTTAATTATTAGGAATTTTAAAATATTAGGGACATTTTCTATATGACATAGGAATGTTAAAATATTAGGGAAATTTTCTATATGACAATCATTGGTGTTGAAATTAAACACAAAATTGAATCGTAATGAAAACGTGAGTCAGACACATTTCAACAATTGCATCACGTGTTAACCCCAAAAGAAATTGCATAAAAACGAAGAGCATGCCATAAGCATAAAACTAGAAAGCTATCGTACACGATATTCATGTTACCTATTATTGAAAGCAAGCTGGTTGTACCAGACTTGATTCAAAAGACTGGTAGGATACGATAGCAGCGGCCAGGGCAGTATCTTATTCTTGTCCGCCATTTTGCTACGTTTGTCGTGAAGGCGTCAGTACATTATTAACCCAGTCTTTTCTCAAATCTCTCAAAATACCTCTTCACTCTCGTACCTTATCACTTGCTCCACTATCTGTCCTCACTATAGTCACTTCCGGTCACTTCCGTCCATCGCGAATCACAGTGCACACACTTTTTAAAATTGCCGATCGGTTAATGACCGAATAAGTAGATGACTCGTTCTGGGGAGTGAAGAGCTCTCCTTGTAGTTTTTGAGTGTCCTCGACGAGCACTTGACGGCTAGTGTTCCCTACCTCCGAGCAGTTTTGCCCGTCAAGCACCCTCGAAGCCGAGGGCGGATCTTCGCAGGGGCGGAGATTCCGGGTTCACCCCTCGAACGCCGGTTCCACCACCCCGACTCGAATTACCACCCGATCTCGACCGCCGACCAACGGCTTCCTTAACCCCCGAGGCTCTTGCGAATCATCGATCTTAAATGCTTTGCTGTGATTTCGGATATTCGTACTACTTCTTCAATACTTATTTATTTAGATTTACTTTTCTTACCGGTGATGTGTATTTGAGAATCAAGAGGATATACTTCATGCGAGGATCCAGTCGATACTACTTCATACGAGGATAAAGAGGACACTACTTCATATGAGGATCAAGAGGATACTACTTCGTATGAGGATCAATTGATTAAGGTTATAATTGCATTTACTGTTTCTTACCGGTGATGTGTATATGAGGATCAAGAGGATATACTTCATTTGAGGATCCAGTCGATACTACTTCATACGAGGATCAAGAGGACACTACTTCATATGAGGATCAAGAGGATACTACTTCATACGAGGATCACGTGATTAAGGTTATAATTGCATTTACTGTTTCTTGCCGATGATGTGTATGTATATGAGGATCAAGAGGATATACTTCATGTGAGGATCCAGTCGATACTACTTCATACGAGGATCAAGAGGACACTACTTCATATGAGGATCAAGAGGATACTACTTCATACGAGGATCAACTGATTAAGATTTCAATTGCATTTTATTCAGAATTTGAGGTTAAGAATAATTCTAGCGAAGTTAACTACGTTGTTTTAGTTTGCGTTCAAGGTATTTTTTAAGTATTTTCTCTGTAATTTATTATTTGAAAATTTGATTCCGTAACAATAAGGAATAATACATTATTTTATGACACAGTGAAAATTAGGAAAATTGAGCACTGATATAAAAGAATAAAATTGTGAAACAATGAATAATAAAATAGTAAATTGTTGAAATATTAAAATAATATAAATAACAGAACACGCAAATAAAATGTATATTTTCTTCATTATTGTTAAATTTATAGATGTTTGTACTGAATTTAAATTTTACATTAACAGTTACGAGATTAGATTTAATTATTTGCAAATATATATTGTTAATAGAATATTATTATACTTGCACATAATTTACAATGTAGATTCTATAGCAATTCAAATTAGATATTAAGTATAATCGGTGAGTCTATTATTTGTGGTTGAACTGAATTGAGAAGGATTATGTCTCCATATTGTGTTACAATTGTGTCAGGTACTTAGATCTATGTAAATAGAACAACCCTACTTATGTAATATATTATTAATAATGTATTACCTACCCTTAGAACAGTTACACGTGCTTGACAGTAGCATCTTGTATTTTATTATATTTGTGATTTATTGAGGATTTTGAAATTTTGGAAATGTGAGAAATTTAAGAAATTCGAGAAATCTATGAAATTTGAAGAAGTTGAGAAATTTGAGAAAATTGAGAAACTTGAGAAGTTTGAGGAATTTGAGGAATTTGAGGAAGTTGGGGAATTTGAAAAATTTGAGAAATTTGAAAAAGTTGAGAACTTTGAGAAATTTTAGAAATCTGTGAAATTTGAGGAATTGGAAATTTAAGAAATTTGAGAAATTTGAGGAATTGTAAATTTAAAAAATTTGAGGAATTGGAAATTTGAGGAATTAGAAATTTGAGAAATTGGAAATTTGAGGAATTGGAAATTGGAGAAATTGAAAATTTGAGGAATTGGGAATTTGAGGAATTGGAAATTTGAGGAATTGGAAATTTGAGGAATTGGAAATTTGAGGAATTGGGAATTTGAGGAATTGGAAATTTGAGGAAATGGAAACTTGAGGAATTTGAAATTTGAAAAATTGGGAATTTGAGAAATTGAAAATTTGAGGAATTGGAAATTTGAGGAATTGGAAATTGGAGAAATTGGGAATTTGAGAAATTGAAAATTTGAAGAATTGGAAATTTGAAGAATTGGGAATTTGAGGAATTGGAAATTGGAGAAATTGGAAATTTGAGGAATTGGAAATTGGAGAAATTGGAAATTTGAGAAATTGGGAATTTTAGGAATTGGAAATTTGAGGAATTGGAAACTTGAAGAATTGGAAATTTGAAAAATTGGAAATTTGAGAAATGGGAAATTTGAGGAATTGGGAATTTGAGGAATTGGAAATTTGAGAAATTGGAAATTTGAGGAATTAAAAATTTGTGGAATTGGAAATTTGAAGAATTGGAAGTTTGAGGAATTGGAAATTTGAGAAATTGGAAATTTGAGACTTAAATCTCAAACACAAATCCATAAACTCCTACAAACACAAAAACTTGCGCCACCTACCGATACAACTCAATCCATTAATATCTAGAAATATCCCCTACCTAAAAATCCCAAAAATCTCCAAATATTTCCCTATATTTTCAAGCAAATCTCCCAAAAACCAAACTACCCAACCCTCCAAGAAAAACAAAAAGAACTCCTCCGAAAGGTCCTCAAATCTAAAGATAACTCCACAAATCAAAGTTATCTAAATTCTTTGTTCCCGAACGAAAAACAGCAATCTACTTCGAAGACCGTGAGTGCAGCGTAGCGGAAGCTCGAATAAGAATTTATTGAAATGCGAAACGCTCGAGGAACGCTCGTGAATCGTGGTAATGCACGTAGGATCGGTCGGTGGTCGAAAACGGGGGTAAGTTTGCGAATGGGCGTGGCTTGTCCGGAGCCAATGGGAGCACGGTACGTCGAGGATCACCCTAGCGAAACGTGTCGGGGGTTGATTTCAACCCTCGCCGCGAGCCGACCAATCGGATCGCTCGATCGATCAGGGCTTTTTACACCGAGAGCATACTTTACGTGGAGTGTTAATGTGAAAGGGCATTAGCGGTGCTTTTACCGTGTCATTTCGATTTTTTCCCTGTCCTTCTCCTTCGCGTCAGACTTGTTGGATACCTTTTGTCTCACTCCCTCGCGATTCTATCGATGCTTGTAAACTGGGTTAGCGTACTCGGCCTTTCGACGTTTACACACCGTTTCTGCTCCTGAAATTCTGTCCTTGTTTTTTGGATCTTATTTGGATGTACTTGCTTTTTTGGATCTTATTCGATGTCACCTGGATATGGGATTCACTTTTTATTTGAATTGTATGACTGCAAAGTTGCGTGTTTTATAGATAATTGAGGGAAGTTGTGTGTGGGTGATCGAATAATGAGTGATCATTTAACGTGCGATCGTTTAATAAGTGATTATTTAATAGGAGATCGTTTAACAAGAGATCATTTAATAGAAGATCGTTTAACGAGATCATTTAACAAGATATGAACAAGAGATTATTCAATAAAAATACGTTGAACAAGTGATTAAATAACAAGAGATCATTTAATGGGTGATCGTTTAACATGTGATCACTTAATGAGTGATCATTTAACAAGCTTCTTGCAGTTGATCGTTCAACAAGACACAATTGAAGAAGAGATTATTTAATTATATACCATTGAACTAGTGATCGATTAACAAGAGATCGTGTAAAGGGTGATCATTTAGCAAGTGATCACTTAATGAGTGATCATTTAACAAGTTCCTTGCAATTGATCGTTTAACAAAATATAATTGAACAAGAGGTCATTTAACAAAATGCTATTGAAATACTCAATTAACAAGAGATCATTTAACACAATACCATTGAAGTGATCAATTAACAAGAGATCATTTAACGAGTGATCACGTAATGAGTGATCATTTAACAAGTTCCTTGCAATTGATCGTTTAACAAAATATAATTGAACAAGAAATCATTTAACAAAATACCATTGAAGTGTTCAATTAACAAGAGATCATTTAACAAGATATCATTGAAGTGATCAATTAACAAGAGATCATTTAACGAGTGATCACTTAATGAGTGATCATTTAACAAGTCCCTTGCAATTGATCGTTTAACAAAATATAATTGAACAAGAGGTCATTTAACAAAATACCATTGAAGTGTTCACTTAACAAGAGATCATTTAACAAGATATCATTTAGCAAGCGTTCATTTAACAAGTTCATCACATAAAAGTTCACATAAATTATCCATCTCACCCTCTAATATTTTACTAAGTCTATATATTAAACAAAAACCTGTGCTTTGCTGAAAAACTCAAAACTTCTGAATGTTTCTTATTTACTTTGAATATCTTGCAGTCCGGAAATATCTTACAGTCCTGACATGTCTTAAATCTTCATCGTCACTTTCAACCTCAACCGACACTACAACCCCACAATTATACTTCCCATAGCACACGGGTCAAATCAACCCTCATAAACACCTTCAACACAAAAAAATCCTCTGACATTCTCCGTCAAACTAAAATTTCAACAACTTACATAAGTCGGATCAAATTCGATATTAAATTCAGAAACGAGAATGGACCTGCAGGTTCAAAATGACCCGCATACAAGCACGTAAAACAGGAATGTGATACGTGAATTTTACCGAAGGAAACTGTGTAGATGGCTCGGAGAGCATGATTCAGAATGAGAACAGGTAAGGGACAAGGGTGAGGATGAAGCGGGTTTCCGGTTCATTCAGACTCCCTTTTGTTGGGTCGTGTGGGTGCTTGCTCGACGAAAAAGTCAAAAAGTACGGAAGAGGGCGGTTCTGACCTTCCTGACTTTTTTCCTCGAGTTTTCACCCTTGGATTTATCACCGGCGAAGTATTTCACTCCTATGATTTTTCAACAATTTTTCTAACATGTGATATTAAATTCAAGATTGATATTAATTTTCTGGGGTGACTGTAAATATCCCTATAAAATATTTATACTCAAAGTTGCTTAGAAGCTGTCAAATATTAATATTATTATTTTTGAATCACCCTTATAAATGAGGACGAACATTTTTATTTATGTATATTTAACCCCTTATTGATTTATATGAAAAACATTTAAGTTAAGTAAAATTTTTTTAAAATAATAAATTAAAATTGTACTAATTCTATTTTATTTTTCCCTAACATTTCAACCCTCGGTCCACAAAATTTGCAACATCTGCAAATGTAAAAAGAAGTCTCAGAATATGAACGTTAATGTCCATCATAATGTTAATACAATTTTAATGTTCACAAAATAAAAAAAGCTCCAATCTTTCATTATTCACAAATCATCCCCTAATTTACATCCACCTTCAGAAGTTTAACAACCGTCTTAACCATCAATTTAGTATCCAAAAGAAAGAACAGAAATACATGATATTAAGAAAGGTCACTGAATCTCTCCGAATCACGCACGAGGATCATCAAGTACATACATGTAAATGTACATACATATCCATGTATAGACCGGAAGTGGTAGGAAGGCCTGCGCGTCGTTTCATCGTTTTTAACTCGGTTAGAATCGAATTCAACGAGACGCTCTCGTGATTTTTCCAAGAAGCAAATTGTCCTTATTTCTTCCCACTCGGTTCTGACCGACTGGTGAGCCTCGAAGCGTTATTGCGAACAACAGAAAAAGGGGAAAGAGAAAAGATACGGCAATCGAGCAACATTTGCTGGGATCCCACGACTGTTTGGCGATAGCTGTGCCAACTTGTTTCGAACACGCAACCCAATTTGTCTGCGTCTCATTGTTTTACTGGCCGAGCCGTTGCCTCGTCTTCCTCAGCGATGTACAATCCATTGATACAAATTTTTATATTTTGGAATTTTGAGAAAATATTAAATTTTGGAATTTTGGGAAATTTGGGGATTTGGGAATTTTGGGATTTGGGGATTT